AGTGACAGGCTAGCAAACAGCCGGCGTGCTTTCATTTCATTGTGGCTTTAAAATTGGAGCACGTTGATACCATCTTACTGCAGCCAATATTGAAAGGTTTAACGAAGTTTAGTGGTAGTAAACAACAACATGGGTGAATCCATGGGAAACGTACCACCTTTCTGGAAAAATGTTTTAGTACTTTTTCTTGTGCAACGCGTAGCACCGAATTAAAAAACATCTTTGGCCGAAAAAAATTTGGAACTTGTTCATTTAATCGTTGAGATCTAGTCACATCTTTCGGTGCATGTGTATGACACGTAAATTACCCATTTCGACAAAGCAAAGAGGATGGATATTTTTTTAATAACTTTTGACAGGAACATGACAGAGAGCTGCGCTTTTCACCGTTGGAAAGAGCCGATGAAAATGCATCGAATCATATGAGACAATGGCTTTCACGCTGGTCTTTTGATCCTGTTTATGATAGTTTAGTTTAAACAACGGTACGAAAACTCATCACTTTCATGGTGTTCTTTAAATTTAACCGTGGCGAATAGTTTCAAAAGTCATTGTCTTATATGATTAGATGCGTTTTTATTTGCTCTTTTCAACGGTGAAAACCGTATCTCTCTACCATGTACTATCAAAAGTTATTCAAAAAATAGCAATCTACATCTCTCTGTCTGAATGAGCATTAGTCATTCTGTGTGCCCTTCCACTATTATTGATGTAGTGTTTTGTAACTCGAATACATGTAAAATGAGTTCAATTACACTCATTTGCGTGTTTCGGAAGGATAATAGTCAGCCTATGAGGGCCAATAAGGATAGTGAATCTCATTGAATCACTGTTCTTGTCATACAGAACAATTTATTTAATATAAAACCCTATCGAAAGGAGAATGTATCCGAATGACGAGATCTTGAAGTACGACGATAATTGATCGATTTGTTAGGCAAGACTTGAAACTCGTGTATGTGACGGATTCCTTGAATTGTTCCTATATATTAACACAATTAGACTCCTCGCATCAAAAAATCACAAAATCTTTACCTGCCTACTTGAGTTTATCTGTTCTAGGGCTGATGACATGGGTTTTGATTCTTTTCACTTCACGAGCTTCGAGGTAGAACACATGCACAGCTGGATATGCTTTTCCGCTGGCTTTGGTTGCTTCGAGTTGATGCTTCTTCACGAAATTATAAAAATCCTTCGAGAGGAGAGATGAACACTTTTCGAGAGGGTTGCACATCTCGCAGTGCACTTAAGAAAAGCACCTAAACCGTCCCCAGCACCTCTGCCATGACCAGTCGCTGTAAAAGTCCATGCAGCATCCAGACCAAAGTCTGTATTGTGATGTGTCAAATTAAGCATACTCAGATTGTTTTTGAAATGCGCACTGGCCCCATCACTAATAAAAAAAAGTCAAAATTTAAGGATTATTATTTAAAAGAATCACTGGTTTATCAGTCTTGAGTATCTTTTCATTTGCTGTTGTGACAGACGTATGACAAGCTCATGTTGAGAGAAAGGAATAAAACCCAATTTTGTGCAAAATACTCACATGAAATAGTTGATCTTCTTAACGAGGGGATAATGATTCTTCACGAAATTGACGATCATACTTTGGGCGTCATAGACGAATGCTGTGGTATGCTCCGTACAATCGCTAACAATAGCCATACCTTGATGCTCTGTTCCGATGATTAGATGTACGGTAAAGAGAGTGGCTTGATTTTGAGAAAAGAAACCCTGTTGAACTTCACGCTGACGAATGAGGGTATAATTCATGGAGAAATCGATCTGTGCGATGATGAAGTTCTTGTTAGTCGATTGTGTTCGAAGATAATTGACGTATTTTCGTTGTTGTCGATTGTAATAGGTATGTTGAAGAAAATGAGGCCATTGCTCTTCAACTTCACTTAGCAGAGAATCGAGAGAACCAGTCACTTTATGAAGATCGAATTTGGTGTTCAGTTTTCTCCAAATGGTCCATGAACATTCTTCATCAACGTCGATTTCGATGTGCTCAGTGAGAATGTTTGCGAGTTGTACTGTTGGACAATTATCGCATTCACCAATGTAGCAATCTTCCGTTTCGACAGAGCAGATCATTCGACGAACGAGATCATTCATAGTGAATTTCTCAGCTGTTGATATAGAAGATTGCTTCGATATCCGTTGGTAGTTTTCGTTCCATGCCTGCAAAAGAATTTCAAACATCACTGACTCACTTGAAGTAGCAAATGCATATTCTCGTGATAAATGCACATCCATGTTTCGTGAGGTGCGACAATCTTACCGTTTCGAGGTCGAAGTGAATGGAAAATGGAGCGGCCAACGAGATCAGGATGCCGTCTGTCGAACTCTCGAAAAGCATCGAGGACAGTCATTTCCATGAAACGAACAGCAACTGGTTTCTTCTTGATTTGAATGACATCCTTTGAATTTGCTGAAATGCGACTGATGCCATCTTCTTGATAGAATTCGATGACAGTAGTGATTGTTTTTTCAGAGATTGACGTGTTGTCACGAAGATATTGAGGAAAGGCGAAGACTCGGTTGTTATCTCGAAGCTGAACCGCCTGACGTGCATGACGCTCTGTTGATTGAAACCTAATAGAAAAAAACAGAAAATAATCAAACAGAACCACCGTTCAGGCCGACCCGATTCACGCGCCATCTTTCAGTTTTTGTACGACCCCAGTTTTTCGGGGCAATGGTCATCAACCGTTACCAGTTATTGACATGTATGTCAATAACTGACTATTAACAATTAATCAGGAATTCGATGCATATGAATCGATTGAGTCACAACGTCGTAAATGGGCTGTGGCATTTCTTTCTGACGAAGTATTGAAGCGGTATACTCGTCAATTAATTAAATTTGAAACATGGAATGATTTACAAAATGCATTGCAAGATAATTTTCCATCACTACCCGAACTATCACAATTTCTCAGACATCGGCAAATTCTCTTAAGAAAACAAGCTGACACAGAAGAAACTCTTACTCAATATTATGGAGATATGACCAAGTTATGTACACACCACAATCCAGTAATGACCAATGCAGAACGTATCGATCGATTAAAGTTGGGCATGAACACATCGTTATTGAATAGATGTTCTAGAAGTATATTTACTTCCCCACAAGAACTACTTTCATATATTCAACGTTTATAACTCGATCAACAAGTTATTAAAATACTCTTGTTTTCATCTGGCAGCAAAGATGACAACACTCGTAAATTATCGTCAACATCAAATCCTCCTCCGCAGCATCCTACATCTACACCAATCAATTCCATATTATCATCAACCTCTTTTCAACAGGGAAATCGTCGTACTACGAAAATCTTACGCTGTTATCATTGCGGCAATCGCAGTCATTTCGTCAGACGTTGTCCACGAAACGTTTACAGGACTAATCCGTCGCTCGTATATATCAACGTTTATGTAATCGACAAACACGTGCACTCATCGACTGTGCTGCCACATATTCATTTATAACTCAATCGGCACTTAGTAAAATTCGTCATTCGCCGTTACTTCCATCAAAAACGGTTGCACATTTAGCTGATAGTTCTGCGCCTTTACATATAATAGGGGAGGTTAATTTGCATATTCGTGTACTTAAAATCGACACTTCGATCACTGCACACAGACTTTCTACAATGTAAATTAGTTTCAATGGTTCCTGCAATGTTAAAAGTTACAGATTATACTACGTTCATCAAATACAACAACATTGACTGAGCCCGAACATTATACAAAAACGAAGTAATAGGACAAATCACTCATACACACAAGCCCGCGCTTCACTACGACATACTATTAATACCAGAGATGTCCTACCATTAGCTCACGTCTATATCCCAAACGAGAGAAGATCAACGTGGAGAATTACAAAAAGTAATCCAAGACATGATAGCTAATAATCAAATTTGTCCTTCAAATTCTCTCTGGTCATCTTTCTGGTCACGTTCTGTCTATATTAAACAAAGCCAGTTTCCAAGTTAATCCGGAGAAATGTACAATTACGGTTCGCGAAACTGAATTTTAAATCATATTACTAACAAAGATCAAATTAAACCATCAACAGAAAAAATTCAAGGTATTGTTGAATTATCACCGCCAAAACCTTTAAACGAAGCTAATGAATTTATTGGAAAACTGAACTGGTACCGCAAGTTTATTCCAAATTTTGCTGAGATTGCAGCCCCTATTCATAAAGTAACCAACAAAACGAAGAAAACGAAACATGACTTTTATTGGCATAAAGAACAATAAAATACCTTCGACCGATCTAAACGAATATTGATTACAGAATCATTATTTCTGCCGGACCCAACAGTACCCTTCATCCTAGCAACAGACGCATCAGTTATTGGCGTCAGCGGCATATTACGTCAAGCTACTTAATGTAGCACTCGAATATGTTATTATAAATCTCGTACATTGTCCGATATCGAAAAATGTTACGATCCATCCAACGGAACGCGAGGCATTAGCTACTTATTGGAATATAAAGCAACTACGAGAATACATTGACGACTCCTATTTTTCGATAGAAACAGTCAACCATTGATCAACTTCCATAAAAACAAATTAATAATATACGTGTTATGCATTGGCTGTTTAAATTGCAATATATTATTCCGCAAATTATCGAAGTTAAGCATTTAAAGCTAACTTCGGTAATTTGCGGCGTGATAAGAATACAGACCAGATTATCTGTCGAAACATCCAATCTCTTCCATATTTTCATCTACCATAACGTTAACACTAACAGATAATAACGATTGACCTCTGAGAACAGACACATGGGACATGAAACCACAGCGCTCTTCATCACTCTTCACGCAGTCAAATACTGTCATCACTCGTCCACAAGCTAAACGCCAGATACCGGCATCGACTCCCAATACTACCACCACTGCACCTCATTATCTCCGTCGTCGTCTTCGCATCAATCTTCAACTATTAGTTCCTCTTCACCATTATTCGACTTCAGCCTCGATCCTATTCGAAAAGAGAAAACAAACAACACTGATATTCTAGAAAAATATAACCTTCGTCCGGCTACATCATTGTAAAGGCTTCTTCTAACAACAGAGCTCAAGTTTTAATGGAAAATGTTATTCTCGTTCCTGTGGCGCCTGATAAAATCATCACTGATCAAGAGCAGCATTTCAACAGTGAATTAACAGCAGCGATGTTGGCGTTTATCGACTCGAAACACGTCTTTTCGACTCCACATCATCCCCAAATCAATGGTCAAACCGAACGTTTCAATGCTACATTTGCAACACAGTTATCCAAATATTGTGATGAGGAAAAATCAAATTGGGATCTTTATTTGCCATCTATCGTCTACGCCTATAATCGTGCTCAACATCGTTCTACGGGGTTCACTCCGTACCAGCTGGCCTTTCCTCGTATACCTCGTAATTCATTTGATCGTCCGCAAACACAATTCAAATTCTCACGTCCTAATGATTATTGGACTGAACTTCGAAACGATTGCTAACAAGATGGCTCGTTCAAACATTCAATACCAACAAGCATTAAAAAAACAGCGTTATGATCGAAATATATCCAGTCCTGTTTATAACATTGGTGATCTCGTTTGGCTCAAAACATTAACCAGCCGATTAAAGTTAGATGAACGATATCATGGTCCCTATCGAATTACTGATAAAATTACTGCAATCAATTACATTGCTTCCTCTTCCTCTTTCCATTTCTTATGATCACAAAGGATGTTCACTCAGTTCTGGTTGAGTCAACATATTTTCTTCATCTGTTTCATTTCTCAAGACCACAAAGACCTTTCTTCATCTATATAAAGTGTCTGTAGTGTCTGAGTTAGTTTTTTGTTTTGTTGTGTTTGTAGGTTTACGAAAAAAAAGGTTACGGAATTTTTGTCAGAGACGTACAGCAGAACAGAATGCTTAGTTTGTGGTAGAACTTTAACATGAATCGGTTAAGTAGAATGGCTTTCATGAATAAAATAGATGTCGTGACGGAATTACATTTTTTGGCCTTTTTCTTCAGTGTTCTATAAACTTTGAAAAATGCTCTAAAACAAGACATATTCAACAAAAACGTCTAATATAAAAGTTGTAGAGTATAAAAGGAGCTTTCGAATCTTTCATTTACTTTCACTTAAAAATGCTTAAAAAGCCAGAATAAACAAGCGGAATAGCTCCGTGACGAAACTACATCATTTTTTCTCTTTCGTTTGCGGTGGGTTTGATCCTTATATTTCTACCGGTAAGAAGACTTCTATAAATTTGATTTGCACGGAGCCTTATACAATCGAGTACCCTCTACCAAACTAAGCGAAAAAACCGGCACAAAAAATGTTTCTGATTTGTAAAATTCCTCCAAAAAAAGTACCATTTCGATTTCGGCAACAACCAGCAAAAGCTTGTTTAGTATGATAATAAAACTTGTTAATAGCCAGTTATTGACATGTTGTTTACTACCACTAAACTTCGTTAAACCTTTCAATATTGGCTGCAGTAAGATGGTATCAACGTGCTCCAATTTTAAAGCCACAATGAAATGAAAGCACGCCGGCTGTTTGCTAGCCTGTCACT